GCCCCCACGGCTGAAAAGGCGAGCATGCTTGGTGGGACGGGGATTCGAACCCGCGACCCTCAGATTGCGAGTCGATCGCCTTATCCACCTGGCCATGCCGGGCCAACTCTTAGGAAAGTTCTTCTGAAAACAATTTAAAAGTTTTGTTGTTCCTACAGAAAAGAATGGTAAGAATAATTTTAGGCCTAAATTATCAAGATACTGTTCAACAATTGTTCCATAACATTAACATATTAAACATGTATGAAATAAATATACACTTGTGTGTGGTATATTTATGTATAAGATAAAAGACTGAACTAATTGATATGCCTAGATTCTTAAACTATTCAAAGATAATATATTCATAGTTATTAAGCAAGAATTAATATAGATTTACATATATCACTATATAAAAAAAATCAATCGGTCAACAATCAAAAAGTTATGTAAGAGTGAAAATATTGAACAAAATACCTTATCATATAAGAGATAAAAATAATTTAAAAATTTAATTAATCACTTGATGACTCCAGTAGGTACCTAAGCTAGAATACCAAATATCAAGTTACCCCATGTGTTAGCGTTGACTGAATTCATCAAGCGATTAGATATTTAAACTAGAACATCAAACATCAAATTGTGTGTTAGCGTTGACTGGAGTCATCAAGTGATTAGATACCAAAGTGTTGCTTTCGTACAAAAGTCGTCTAGTGCATTAGTGTATTACTGATTAAGATTTTTAAGATATCAGTATTATTGGATCAAAAGATATCACCTACAACGACAAACCGCAGAGTATATCTTATATAAGCTGGTATATACATCTTTGATGTCAAAACTCGACTAGACATCCTTGTCGTTTTTCTTTTCCTTTTGAACAAACGATTAAATATGGTATTTCCTTGGTTAAAACCAAAAACTAAGACACCACACCACTGTTCCCATAATTCGGCTAGAAATTTTGGTATCTCCATGGTTAAAGTTAACAGACACAACGGTATTACAAAAATCATAACCTATAATTAGACATTTTAGTGTTTTCAAGGCACACCAGTGTTATAACCTAGCTAAACGTTTTATTGTTTACTTTGTTGAAAACAGATACAACACATTAGTGCTCTCATGGTTAAAACTTAGAATGACACACCAGTGTTTTTACAGTTATAACCTAGCTAGGTGTTTTAGTGTCTCTTTTATTAAAAACTGATATGACACATTAGCGCTCTCATGGTTAAAACTGAGGAGGCTACACCAGTGTTGTCATGATTATCATTTAACTAAACAATTTAATGTCTCCGCCTCCAGGATCAAAATTACCAAGACACATTGATTTTCTCGGGAACTGGTATAGCCTAGTGGTTAGGGCGTTCGACTCGCAACCTGCGGTCACGGATTCGAATCCCGCTGACAAACATGCCCGCCCTTTCAGCCATGAGGGCGTTATAATTTGATTGTCAATCCCACTATTCACTGGTAAAACAGTAGCTAAATTAGGGATAGCTTCCCGAAGAGGATATAAGAGCCACCAGTTACACCTGCCCGAGAATTACCAATGATGCATCCAAGATGCACCAATAGTCGTAAGCAACCTCGGGACTCAAATGTTCCATGGTGGTTGTGTCCCCACGTTTAAAAACTAACTCAACACACTGATACCCCCAGGTATAATTATAACCGAACTATGGCCTGTGACTCCATGTTTAAAAGCTTACTTGACATGGTACTGTTCCGTGGTTATGATTGCATTAGAATTAAAGTATATTAACATTCATTAACGTTAGAAGTTAAGCATGGTTTTCGTCAAATACACGACGAATAACCGATAATTTCTGAGTTAATACCAGCATTTCACAACAGTCGGTGTCTTTTCACAAATAAATAAAACCGCTTGAAATTGAGATAGATAGAAATATATTCTGTAATAGTTCAGCTGTACCTTTCCTAAACCTCTACATGGATACAAAATAAGAACAATGCGATTTTGATTTACACTGCTTGGGAATAGGTACATTTCTTGTTTGTTTTCGCATTACGTATAACTTAGCAAACGATGGAGTTCTCAGAAGAAAGCTCCTTCATTCAATTTTACTGTCACCTATAAAGAAATTCTAGTTAAAAAGATCCCCTGCTCTGTGACAAGAAAGGATTTTAATTTCGCAGTTCACTGCGCCATCTGAAGTTTCCAGTTTGTTGCATTGCATTTGCGAAGTCACATAAGAAACGAAAGTCTTGCCTTTTTTTTTTTTCACTGAGTTTTCCTTATTCTGATCTCACAACTTTTCCAATTTAATCCCCGGCTAGAATAGAGGAAATTCCGTTATCCCGCGCACACTCGGCCGTCATCTGCCGCCAGCTTCCTGGCGGGATTTTCCGATTGGCTGCACAAAAAACGCGGCACGAACTTTATCCGTTCTAGCGGAATAAGGAAGCAGATGCCGGGGACGTACCGATCGAAGAAAGACCAGGCTCTCGGCATTGGATCTGCATGTTTGGTTCTTTAACCAAGCTGTTCGGAGACGAATTTTGATGATGAAGTGGGGAGAGCCAAAGTGCCGAACGTAATACATTTTAATTTCCTTTTGCAGAGAAAGTAGTTTTCTTTACAAGGCATCTATCTGATCATCCAAATGCTTTTAGCTAGATACTTGGTGTATTGTGTCTGGCATCAAAACGGAAATACCAGTAACTGCTGCAAATTTTCTCAGAGTTAATTAATTTCTCTTTCAGAAAAGTGTTCATGTTATTTTGAATATTATTACAACCAAAATATATTGTTTAAAAATCAATTTGGAAATAAGATGTGTAAAGTTCATTTATAAAAAAATGTCAAATTCTGCTTAAGATTCAATATCGTATTATGCACAGTTTTCTTTCATAGTTTCGTATTTGTCATAATGATCAGAAGTCTTTGGAAATAGATTTCATTTTCAACACGCAGTGTTAATTTAATAAATCATTCTATGCTTGCTTTCAAAAATCACGAAAAAATTAAGCAGTCCTTTTGTTCTCAAATTTTATTCAATAAAAATTATTCATTAGTAATAATATTTTCAAACTTACTTCACGTCATGTCTGCGGACTTACAACGCTAGAATCCGGGTTTCGATACCCGTGGTGGGCAGAGCACAGATGGCCCATTGTGTGTGTAGCTTTGTGCTTAATTACAAACAAACAAAACTGCTATAGCAGTTTTATCAACAACGCCCCCTGTTGACATCAAGTGACACACTTCTTTTATGAATGTGAAAGTTTTAGTTTTTAATAAAGGAGACATCAATACGTCTAGATAGGGTATATCTGTGGGAACACTGGCGTGTCTTTTTAGGTTTTAATCAAGTAAACACTAATAATACTTTATGGGAAGATTTAATACCATCAGCGTCCCCATTAACATAAAGTAATACACTTCCTTCCTATTTAAAAGCCCCATTTTATAGGAAATATTTACTTATAAACCTTTAGCGTTAATATTGCATTTTGTTAGAACAGTTTTATTTAACAAAGCTGTTAAGATAAATTAAGGACACTGGACATTCCCCCAAAATTATAGTTGTACTGGTAATATGAAAATTGTGTACTTTGTTAAACATCATGTACGTTTATCATTATCAATAATTTATTTTTAATGTTAAGAGACATAATAATAAAAGTTCTATATGACATCTATATCATTTTTTATAACTTGAATTCTAAAGCTGATAAGTAGTATATTGAAATAGCTGACAAAAATATAGTTAATGCTAGAAACAAACACACAGACACTTTCTATATACAGAATAACAAAAATAATGTTTTGTAACAATGCCCTCATATAAAAAATAGATACTGTTAAGTAACAATGCCCTCACATAAGAAATATATATTCTGTTTAGTAACAATAACCTCACATAAAAAATGGAAACTGTTTAGTAACAATAACCTCACATAAAAAATAGATGCTGTTTAGTAACAATACCCTCACATAAGAAATATATATTGTTTAGTAACAATACTCTCACATAAAAAATATATACTGTTTAGTAACAATACCCTCACATAAAAATATATACTGTTTAGTTAAAATATCTCCACATAAAAATAACAAATGGGAACGTTATCTTCGGTCTACTGATTTCTTCATTTCAGTTTTTATTTTCATGTTTGATCAGAACATATTAAAATTTAAAATGGGTAATTGACAGTGTTTATATTTAATATTTTTGGCTTCGATCCAACGATACGATAGATTAATATATACGGACAGAAATATACTGAATTTCTAGACGAAATATTCAGTGTAAGTATCCTACATCCTCAGCACATTACACGTACATATGATACGCATATAAAACTATCTATATGTTTCTTGCACTGTAAATAGATTCTCCTTCATTTAAACCGCGTGCTCTGATATCTCATCATACGTGCAGACAGATACACAATATGTAATATATGTGAATATTTGTATGTATGTATGTATGTGTGTAGCTGTATGATTTCGAAATGGAATTTCAAGGCCCTCAAGCACCAAAATCTATAATCCGTCACCAACAACTGAAATTAGAAAATCGTCACAGAATTTTAACTGGAAGCGACATTAGGCTGTGGACTAGGAAATCACTGCAGCGTGAAATTGACAGATTATTTCCACGCCGTTTCTAATCGATAATTCGGAGAAATAAACGCTTTTAATTAATCTTTACGGACCGGTCGGTTCGCTGCTGTGCGTGGGACACGCTGAAGCAATGCAAAGTTTTTAACGGGATATTAGAGTTAAAAGAGAGCACACAAGATTAGGCACCTAGATGAGTTTGCTGACCAACCGGCCGTGCTTTATACGAAATAATGCTGCGTTGGTTCAGCATTCATTGCTCCTTGGGTTGTAAATCACTAAAGCTTCTTTTGAGATGTTGATCACAAACGATGAACCAGGAAACCGGGCGAAAAATTCCAGTTTCATGAACCTTAACGTGCATACACACACATACACATATATATACACACTCGAGATTTTACACAACACGCGGACATCGCTATTCCGAATGATTCGTCTACGAGCGCGGGCCCATGTACGCATGGACTCCGATCACTCTCTGCTGGGTTTTCTGACCAACTCTGTGGAAACAGGCTTCGCCTTAGGGAAGCAGTGCAGCGCAAATTCGCGTTTCATTAAACCACCAAATTTTTGCTGAAGCGCGAAAAGTCTACCAGACTGCCTGGAACAGAGGAAGAATCAACTGTGTGGAAGATAAGGTTTTTTGCCTGCTCGGCTTTAGTTTGTTGGACTTTGATACAAACTGGAGTGTACCTAGAAGCTTAACGGGGTATGAAGTAAAATCCTATAAATATCAGTTGCTCCACCATTTTGGCCACAAACGTATGTGTAGTTGAGCTGGTGTTCTATCCTTCTCTTATATCCCTTCTGCTAACAAAGTCTGTCTCGTTTACATTTTTCTTAGAGTGGTGAATTAACCATAAGAATGCAGAACTGAAGTTAGTAAATAAGCTTTAATCAAATATCCTTTAAAGTAGTAATGGGAACTCATTGTTACGGGACCTCAGCTTTTAACCCCTCGTCCTGTCCTCTGGGTTGGATTGGTTGAATAAGAGACTGTTTTCAAGCTTTTCGTCTGTGAAAACTAATACAGATATTTTTTGTTTCTTTTAAAAGGATAAAAGCTTTATCCTGTCGACTCCTGCCTGTGTAGTTTGTGGAACAAGGTAAGAATTTCCGACCGTTTAAGCTAGCTTTCGGGTGGTATTTGCAATCTTTCGTTGTACCAACGTTTCTACCAGCTTACCTTACTATCGCAGTTCGTCATAGTCAGATAAATATATTTAAATAAAGGGAGTCCAGATTTATCTTAATCACTATGTGTTTGCGGTGGTCGGTAACCTATTGTGTTCAAGTTACGACGATTTGTCATGTCAGATTTCCAATAGTAAAGTCTTACCTTGATTTGAACGTGGCCATATTTGATATATTTTTAATACCAGAAATCGAACGTCGCTATCTCGTAGATTAATGCGAAATCCAAAGAACCAGAGTTTTTAATAATTCGGGATTCTATAAGTTACGAAATATCCAGTTCGACTTTTACTTCTAAACATATGCTAATTCTTGCGATTAAAAAATACTTTACTTTTGAAAAAAAGGAAAACACGCGCATCTCGTTTGTTCGGTCACTCTTAAATACAAAGCTACGAAAGGGGCTATTTTTGTTATGTCCACCACGGGTATCAAAACCCATTTTTCTTTAGCGGTATAAGTCTTCAAACTTACCTCTGAGTCACCGAGGGGGAGGGGGTAGTGCAACTTTTAAAGTAAAACAACCAGAAACCGGAGAAGTTTGCGATTTCGGAAATCCTTTTAATCCCCTTGATACTTATTTTATTATCTATTAATAATTAGATGGATGTTAATTTTTAAATAACTGTTAGGTTTTTCTTCTTCAAGACAATAAAGAAAACTATCTTCTAAAAGTATCTTTAAGTAGTGCAACGAAACAAAGCACAAATATATACCGTTGTTATATAAAGTAGTGCAACGAAACAAAACACGAATATATACCGTTGGTATATAAAGTAGTGCAACGAAACAAAACACGAATATATACCGTTGGTATATAAAGTAGTGCAACGAAACAAAACACGAATATATACCGTTGGTATATAAAGTAGTGCAACGAAACAAAACACGAATATATACCGTTGTTATATAAGATCTGTTGAAGATTCGCGTTGTTTTCTTTATTGGGATTATTTTACTAGGATAAATCCGTTTAGAATGTAGAAAACTTCGTAATATCATATGTGGTGTAAGGGAAAGTATTATGCCACTATACGATCTTATGACAATGTTAATTAATTTAGTTTTGGTTTGATGGTAATGTTTGATATTGTCTCACACATTGTTTGAATGGATTCTGTAACTGTGATGGGCAAGTTACTTCAATATTGTTGTGATTAGTGTTACAACCTTGCTCACACTTCGAATGGATACTTCTCGTTTTGCTCTGCTATAATTTCTCTTGTTCTAATGAAAATACAGTCTTCGACACACTCGAAACTAAAATATTTTGTGCATTCGGAATGGAATATTCCCACATTAAAGTGTGATGTTATTTCTCTGACTGTGCTTAGTACTAATCTATGTGTACATCCCAGACGGATCTTCGATCCTAACTCTGTGTATTAACACATTCTTTAGTGACTGAGCATTTTTATTTTTATAGTCTGGATGGATTTTTTAATTTTACCACACTCTTCACTCTGTGAACGGGTTTTTCACTGACTATGATGCTACTTTGTGCATATCTTAATTTATTTATTTTACCGTAGTCAGTTCTGTACGCCTACAATATAAATCAGTTTATCATAATGGCATGTGAAATAATTACTTGGAAAATAACCTAGAAGGGCTTTCTTAATTAATATATTTTGTGCTAATTTTATATTGAGTTTTTAAAGTGTGACTTTCTCACGGTAGTTTAAAACCTTACGGGTGATAATGGTTGTGGAAACTACAGACAAGTTAGTGGTCACTTTATTAGAGCCACATGCACATATGCGATAACACTTCAAATACTTGAATATGCAAAACAGATTGGCCATATGATATGTCAGGTGATAACAGAATAGGAAATAATTTAACAGTTACACTGTAAGACAGTGCGCGAGAGCAAGAATAAGTAAGACTTCAGAGGGGCGTGACAGTGGGCACTCATCTAGCAGATGCTAATAAAAACCCTTTTTGTGACTAACTGTTTAAAGTTATATATTATCAAAGACTATTTAAAGTGACATTCGTCAAGAAAAACGTCTTCGTGATTGAAGAAAAAGATAGTTTATCCCATTCGACTTATTCCATCATAAATGATCATGATTCAGCCAGACACGCACAATGGGAAAAAACAACAACAACATTACAACAAATGCCATATTACAACCTTGACAGGCACATCAAATACTACTGATTACAAATTTGAGCAGAAAACATGTTTGAAATCATGATTAATTGTTGACAGTATATGGATGACAGGAAATATGTGAGATGTTCTGATGATATAGAAGAGCACATAGAAACCCGAATGAAACACTTAATCCTAATTGAGTTACACTAGAGTGTAAGGTGATATGTGTGCTGTAATGATGAGGAAAATGTTTTCGTGACATGGAAACTTTTTGATTCCTTGGAATAGTCGATAGCATCCAGACTGTATCGTGTATCTGAACTTTGATGTTGAGTTTCAACACCGATGAACATAGAAATGGTCAACCTGTACTTATGTCGTCCAAAATGGTGACGAAGTGCACGGCCTCTTTTTTTTTTTCGATTGCTGTGTAGTATA